TACACTAATTAAATTCTCTGTATTATTAGTGATCCCTTGTTTTTAATGTATAGTGAATATGAATGTTTATCTAAAGCAACATTGAAGGAACGTATATAAATGTAACTCAGAAACTTTCTCAGTACGTCTAGAAAATTGAACAAATTGAAGAAATTGAACATTCTAAGAACCAAAACTTGTGATGTAGAAAGAATGTTCTAATTACCAAAAATTGTTATCTTAGAAAGAGGGGAAATGGTCATGTAAAATGAATGATGACTGTTTTGGTACATCAACACATACAAATATTGTTAGAAAGCTGAAGAAAAACATATACAATTCATGATATGAGCCCAAAAAATTGTTGTTTCTCAGAAAAAGTGGTGTTTTTTGGGGCGTCCATTCAGTGTCTTTTCTATCTCTTTTCATGCAAATCTCTCACTCCAGGTACAAACTGAGAGGAATACAGCTCAACTTTGGACACAAGACACTTTGCACAAGTACATTACTAGACAAGTACTGAATTACCTATATTCATGGGTTAACATACATTAGCATCACCGGTCTTAGACTCAGTGTTGGTTTGAATCAGCTTGATGGTGGAGTTGTAGGGATATTTCTTCCTGTGTCACTGATGTGAAGCGTGGCTTTTAGGAACCACAAAAACTAAAAATATGTTTTATGCCAGAACTTCATAACAAAACAATGTCTCCGGTGTCAAGCAATACATTCATTTTGTGTAATAACTTAATGGGATGTGGCTTTTAGAGCCAATAAAAGCTTTGGACGTCTGGTTCTTAGTATTATAATGATGAACAGTTCTGACTCTGTAAATTTCAGTCTGAATGATTTTGTTTACATCTAAACCATTGAATAAGTGAGTAATTTTGAAAAATCGGTGGAGATCCCCTTTAACTACTCAGGTCGCAGATGCTCGGCCAAAAATCAAACGCAGATCTTTGCTATTACTTTAAGACTTGTCTGTCATATTTTTTTCAGCTGCTGCTCGAGTTGGAGGAATGGTTTAAGAGCAATGAGAGTCTGTAAAGAGTCGGACGTTAAAACAGACAGATTATGCTGACAGTAAATAGTGCTGACGTGCAGCTAGAAGAAGAGGAAAGCCAGCTCTACAGATGAATTCCCTCATTTCATCATTGAATGCATTCCCACCAGCAGTGAAATGAACAGGGTTTGGTTGGAAGTGGACCGAGAGCCTCGAGTTTGTGCCGGACCAGTTCAGCTGTTTGATGCAGACCCAAATATAGGTGGAACGTTCACACACGTCAAAAGGGAGCGAACTAAAGAAAAATGTTTCATAGGTTCATACCGAACAAGTTAGGAGAAACACCCAGAGAAAACTGTCCATCCCTGCGTAGCTGTCTGCACTACGTCTCAAACCGATGACATTTAATTAGCCTGCAACGTTTTTATTTATACGTTTCTACCAGCCCACTGCAAACTAGTGCAAGAGCCGGTTTATGAGAAGCCTGGCCACTTCCTGTTTTCCCCCAATATATCAAAACACGACTGCGAAACGCTAGAAGGTGCACTCAAGCTAGTCCTTAATGAATGGGAGTAAATGGAGCTAAACAACTCCTGAGTACAGGCCCGTGGACCTCTAAAGGGTGCTGCACGGCCCAAAGGTGGTCCGCGGCCCACAGGTTGAGAAACCCTTTTCTACACGGTGAACATGAGTGAGTGACATGCTTCACATCTAAAAACTCAGCCACAAAGCTAGAGCAGTCAAACACTGAATAACATTATAAAGAAAGGAGAAACTGCAAGTGTGAAGGCACAAGATTGTAAAGGGTCACACTGTAGCATTTTTGAGACATTGTTATTCTTTCATTAAATATTCTGGATGTAAGAAACATCCAATTTTCAATCCTGAAGTCTCTGAAAGGGAATCCAGAGACTTTAGACTTGAAAGCAATTTAAGATGCATTTGAAAAACTAACAAAGAGATGCATCAAAGAGTGTGTCCTCCATGTTGCCTCAATAAATAAAAAGGTTCAGCACTTAATGACTCTGAAGGTGCCATTAAGGCACACAATGCCAGGATCAGCTGCAATGTCTTTGCAGTGATCTTCCTTTTGGGCTCATTGAGTGAGTACACATTCAAAGACTTTATTTCAGATTTTATATTCAGTCAGCTCACATCTTTAGTTTTCCTACTGCTGATCTTTCATGCACAGTTGCCTCTAGAGAAATCAAAAACATCCAGTGCATGGCACTTCTGTGAGTGGCTACAGTAACTCTAATGGAGTTATGGATTAACTGAAATTTGGAGGAGGACCATGCCTTAATCCCCTCCTCCTTCCTGTCTAACTCCCTAAAAATAATACAGTTTTCACGTTCTGGGGTTCTGGCCTTCTAGCCCCAAGCAAAAAGCACCCAGAACTCCAGCCAAAATTTTCAGGGTTCTGTCCCCTCTCTGTCAATCAGTCTCCCCTCATACTTTCACCATACATTGTCCAAACTCGCAAACCACTCTTTACAACAGCGGTCATCAGAAAAGCATTTGTGAATGCACAACAAATTGAACCTTGAGGTGGATAGGCTACAATAGCAGAATATCACATTTGGTTCCACTCCTGTTAGCCAAGAACAGGAATATAAGGCTACAGCGGACACAGGCTCAACATAACTGGATAGCTGAAAATTGTAAAAGTGTTGCCTTGTCTGATGAATCTTAGTTACTGCTGCAGATGGCAAGGACAGAATTTGGGATAAACAGCATGAATCCATGGAGCCAATGATAGAAATTTTGAATATTACCTTAATCGGTAATCAAATAGATTAGATACTGTAATCAATAACCAAATTGGTAGTATTGGCTAACAGAGAATGTAAAATGTAATCCAATGGATTTACTTTGAATGTTATATGACTTGTTATATTTTAAAAAGAGATCTGGAGAATGTAAAATGTAGACTGAACAGCTCATCTTAAGCTAATTCTCATGTCATAGAAAAACCTCAGCTGTTTTATATTTTATTGTTGATTCTAAATAAGGTCATCTGTGGGGAAACTGCACTGGAATAATACTTGCTCTCAAGCTGCGGTATTTCTAGTTAAAAGATGCTTTTTCATTGTCAAAATTAAATATTCACTTGATGAAGAATGATTAATAACTGTTTATATTCTAAACGTAATGAAAAAACACAGACTTCAGAGTTTTGATGCTATAGTATATATTGTATTGCTTACAAAAGGTATCAACAGTTTATGCAAGCTGAGCCAGGCCCACGCTGTTGTTCTCCCTGTTAAAGATGGTGTAGTAGTTTCTGATGAAAACATCACCCAAGATCCACAGTGAGTCACTGCTGCCACTAAAACCAGTCATGCAGCCATAGGAGTTCTGAAATAAAATCAATGAGCTTTCATTGTTATTTATGCAAAATATATTCTTTGAAATTGTTTTGTTGTTTTGATACAGCGTTAGGTCTGAGTAAACATTCAAAGTATGCAGTTTGTCACTAACAGATATAAAAGAACTGACCTGAGAAACATAGGATGAAGCAGGGATAGTGAAAGTGTAGCCGTTAAGGGTGAAGGTAACTGAAGGCATGCTCTGGATGTTGCTGCAGCTCACAGTAGCCTGCAAGACAAGCATGAGAACACATCATTTTCAGTTTTCAGTGAAATTTTGTGCCTGATCGGAAGAGGAGCAGAAGTTAGACTTTCTAACGTGACTCAAAACAGCTTTACCAAGCATCACTAAGTACATCAACTTACGTCTCCATACTGGTCTGTGGTGGCGCCCACCCAGGAGTTAATGTTGCTGATATCAGTGGTTGGCCCCACAATCATGGAGGTTCCAGTATCAATAATAGCCTGACACCCACCAGAGCAAGCAACTGTCTGCCCGTTGATGGTAACACTGCAAACATCAATAGGGACAATTTGTAGTTGACATCAGTGTAGATTTTGGTGAG